TTCTACATTTTTTTTTTTTTTTGCAAAACTGCAATTTTAGTTCTACTGATTTGATCTAGTGACGTTTTTAGTCATAAAAATCTGAACATTTTTTTATTTGGTCACGTGATTTAAAAATTCAACGCAATTTCAAATCTTCAAAGATTGACCTTGTTAAAGAATTTTAAATTACATGACTTAAATTGTTAATAAAATTTTTTGAATGAATTTTTATTAACAATTTAAGTTTGTAATTTTAAATTTTGTTGCAATTGGTGATTGGAATTGCAGCAAAATACCAAAATACAAGATCAAAGAGCAAAAAATTAAAATATTGTGACTAAAAATACTATAGTGTTAAACCAGCAAAACTAAAAAAGTAATTTGAATAATGCTATTTGGCCAACTTGGGTGACAACTTGGATTACAACTCAAGTGTAAATATATTATCAAGAAATTATTAAATAATGCATTTACAATGGTGTTGTAACCCAAGTTGTAATTCAAGTTGGCTTTATAACATTACTCAAGTAATTTTACATCAGCCAGCCGGACTAAAAATGCAATTTTTTTTTTTTTTTTTTGCAATTTACAAGGTTTGAACTTGTGGTTCAGCCCGCTTTCAACACCTCCACTGTGTGTGTATATATATATACTGCACACACATATATCACTCACACATTTTCTCCCTTTATACGCTGTCTCACTCTCACTCAGAACACACACTCAACCTATACATACACAGCCTCTGTACATAGCTAGGCTATTAAGCGATGATGGATCCGCTCAAATCGAGGACCTAGCGCTGATCTGAACGCTCTACAACTGCAGTGTGAGCTCACTAATCAAGCTGTTTTCCGGCATTTGTTTTCGTTTTCAATCCTTCAATGTTTGTTCAAATATATATATAATTTTTGAATTTACGAGGTAAAGTTGTGTGTTTTTTCTTGCCTCATATGGATTTGTAGATAGAGGCGGTGTTTTTGTTTGTTTCATTTGAATTTTGTAAATTTTTTGGAGCATTTTTGGAGCTGTAAAGTTGAATTGTTGTTTTTTTTGCATAGATCTGAGGATGGGGTTTAATTTTTTATTTTTTATTTTTATTTTTTTTTTCGTATGGTGATAGGTACAATTTGAGAAGCTCGTTGTACTTGAGAAGCTCAATTTTAAGTCTGTTTATGGTCATTGAGTTTTTTTTTTTTTTTTTTTTTNNTTTTTTGTTGATACATTCTTAGAAAGGACGAAGTGAGAAAGAAACAAGATGTTATCTTCCCAGATTCTGGGTTGGTTGAAAACAATTTTTGGGAGTGTGATGGAATTTAAGCACATAGTAATTAATGAAATATGATAAAAAGATTACTTCCGTTTTTAGTGTGTGGGATTCTTCTGATTCACTATTTGTTCGAGTATTCGAAATGATACCACTTGGGTGCAAATTTATAGGCTTGTTCAATGATTTAGTGTTTCTGGGTTTCGTTTCATAATTTATCAACTATTTACATCAAGTAATTTAATGAAACAGGCGATAATAAGTTTCTTGTTAGCTGAGCATTTCAAGATATTGCATTATCGAGCTGCAACTCATGGAGCATACGGTATAGCTTGTATACCCTGCACTTAATGAAGTATTTCGGTTTTGCATTTTTCCAATTGGTGAAAAATGCCCAAAAGACAAGAGTTGGTTTTGGGCTAATAAATCCAGGTTTAATCAATTTATCATCTTGTTCTAGTTTATTTGTTATACAGCTCTGGCTCAATAAAATCACAATTGCAATATATTATTACGATTTTGTGTATTTTTGTATGCTAAATGTAGTCTGTTTACGTGGTAAACAATATATGAAACTCAAACTAATAAAAGAATGTTGTATTGATGATATGGTTTAGAATGAATAAGTTGTTCAGTTCAGGGCTTTATGTATGATTGGAATGGGCAATAAAACATGTACGTTGTAACATTCAATATTAATGCGTAACAATTGCAGTATTGAGGTCTACTGAGTACTGTCCAGGCCTATTGTGAGGAATCCTGTTTATTTGTTTACAACATATTAATTCAAGAATCACCGAGGACACAGTGCTGGTTTTTCAAGTTTAAAGTCTAATACACAGTGGGTAACAATGCCCAAAAACTGATACGTAGCAAATTTCAATCACTATTGAAGTCCTATTAATCAAATTGTTTGGACGGAATATGCCTCACAGTTGTATAGCGTATGGCTGCTTGTTGTAACCTTTGTTCGTGCTATACTTGCAGCGATTATGAAGGCACATTAACTTTATTAAGAAACTCCTGTCCCATGAAGAATGCAGTCATGAGTGACCAGAGTTGGTTGTCCAACCCCAGGGAGCCCACCGTGCGAGTTACACGAGCACGGGCTAAAGCCTTAGGCTCATCAGGTGGTTTGCCACCTTTACATCCTTCATCTAGACAAGCTGACAAACCTGTGTTCCGAGCGCACTTGAAAAGAGCAGCCCCAGATAACAAAGAAGCAACAAGTTCAGACACTTCTCCGCCGCACAAGAAAAGAATTGTTCTTAAGGATGTAACTAATATCACTTGTGATAATTTGTATATAAACTGCATAAATGCAGCTAGAGGTCAGGTAAGGTTACCGTCATCATTTTGTTCATTCTTCAAATTTTAAGATTCTTCTTTGTCCTTAACCTTTACATGTGATCTTCAGAGAATAAATGTAGGCTCTTCTTTATATTGAAGTTACTGAATGTATATGTTGCTTGTTTCAGCCTAGCAGGCAGAAGAGAAATGATTCTTCACAGAAGAAGGGAAAGGTGGCGACTCCATGTGTTCCTAAAAAATCTAAGGTTCCAGGAGAGAGAAGAGAAAATATAAATGATACAATGAAAGCAGATGTGGTGGAATCACAGAAGAACTTGACAATTGAACACACTGAAACTGTTCATGCAAATATGACAGGGGCAGCAAGTCTGACTTCAACTACGAAATATTCCAGTAATAGCACCCCACTGATAAGTTCAGTGACCAGAGGTAGATTTATGTGAGGCATAAATTGTGTATCGAGTTAGTAATTAATAGTATCTTACAATTAAGTTCTATATATCTAGTACTCACTTCTTTTTTAATAAGTGTCATTTTAAGAAGTTGCACAGTAATTAAAAATCTTTTTTTCCAATAATAACCCTCATTAATGAGGATAGAGATGGATGTTTTGAGAAAAGATATAGAGTGAATATGAAAAGACGTATTGTATTTATTAGGTAGATGAGGGTAATAATGGACAAATATGTACAAAAGATCCAAAACGTCATTCATTTGGTTAATAGTTGATAAAGCCAAAATGCCATTTAAAAAAACAGGAGGTATCGCCATTTCACACTTGCACTGTATTGACTGCTATATTTACTATGTAAATGCAGACATGTCTGAATCTTTATTGTGAGTGTGATATATAATAAGCCAATTTAAAGTTAGTGTGAGATCTTAGCCTAAAAACAGAATGCTGTTAGGTGAAATGATTTGCTGTGTCTAGCCAATTTAGACTATAGAAATGGCAGAAGAGAAGCTGCACACTCCCGGTTCTTTTCTATTGATACGGTTCAGCAAGAAAAGTTATGCATTAGTTTTTTGGCTTGAATGTTATTTTTATGAGGTGTTCAACTGTACATTCGTCTGCTTACTGATGAAAAGGAAAAGTTCGTAAGTGTGACCCTTCAATGCCACATACATTTTTTTTTCACTTTTTAATATTTTGATCATTTTTATCTTGAAAAAAGCAATACCAACATAATAAATTTGTTTAAGCTAGTTGTTTATACACCTCAGTCTAATAAAGATATGTTGTATCCTTCAAATGGCTTGATGAAATATATAAGACTAGACATTCTCCATAGTTATCATCTGCTTCTTTTTTCGACACTTTTTCGTTTATCATGCAGAAGATGTCAAGCTTTGCATGAAAAAGGAAAGCTTGGAAGATAGTGGAATAACTGACATAGATTCAAACCACAAGGATCCGCAGATGTGTAGCCTTTATGCAGCTGATATATATTCTGCTATGTATGCAAGACAGGTTTGTTAGGTCACCACCTTCACAAAATGCCCATGTGCCTCTATAAGAAGTTTTTGCTATCTTTTAATTGGGGGTGTATTATGAGTTTTGGTAATTGATTTCAAAGTTACTTCGCGTGTCAGTAGACAGCAATTGATAATACTTCAACCAGAATTCACAAGGGTGGTAAAATCTAATCTTGTTTCAGGTTGACTAAAAACTTTCTCAGTTTCAAATTTCTAATAAATGTCTTGTTTCATTGTCTCATATGAAGTTTTGCTCTTCCCTCAGATTGACCGGAGGATTTCGGCTGATTATATGGAAAACCTGCAACGAGACATCACCCAGGGCATGAGGGCTATACTGATTGACTGGCTTGTTGAGGTTTGTTTACTCGACTCACATATTGTCCATGCTCTTACTTAGTCATCATCGTCTCTTCTTTGAGCTACATCATCAGTACTCTTAAGCTGTTGTAAGATCTATAGCTTTCACTTTCTTCTCCAGTTGAATGTTTATTAAGATGTCATTTTCTATACGAAGACTCCCTGTTTCGTAATTATCAAGATTAGACATGCATTGGAAGAATGTATCATTTGTTTCTCTCTCTCTAATATTCCATTCTTGACGTTCAGTGTAATGTTTATCCCCTACCTCTCTTGTGATTCCAATTGCATTGCCTCTTTTCAGGTCTCCGAAGAGTATGGGCTGATGCCTGATACACTATACCTGACTGTAAATCTCATTGATAGGTACCTATCCGAGAATCACATGACCAAACAGAAGCTTCAACTGCTTGGTGTGACCTGCATGCTCATTGCCTCGTAAGTTATTTGTAAAAAGTGAATACATATAAAAGCCAGATATATCATAGTTTACAAGCGTTGATTTTATGGTATGCGAGTTGAAGAAAAAGGCTTAAGAAACGAAGGAAAAATGAACGAAGATAAGACAAAGTCAAGGCACGTGATGCACATTCTCCTAAAGACAAAGTCCAGCTCACTTTGAGCCAACTCAATACTTCCTACATTTTCAGCTCATTTTGAACTTAGATTTACTTTCTTATTCACCCTAAAATTGTTTTTTTCGAATTTTGTAAGTGTTCCATTTACGTAAAAATGGATCCAGTTAATCCAGTACAAAGCCAATTTTACTGACAACATGCTGTTTCACTGTCTTGAATTATTTTATTTTATCCTTTCAAGTTATAACCAGAGTCATCAGTATCCTACACCTATCATTACTCGTTTTTCCTGCCTTATTCAGCTAACTTAATGGTTCAGGGATCTTAAGGCGGTAGATACCTGTGCACTGTTTTGTCAAGTTCTCAAACGAAGTTTTGTTAGTCTTTGACCTTCTGGCATTGCTCTTACTTGTATTATACTGATAACGTCTATAGGAAGTATGAAGAAATTTGTGCGCCTCATGTGGAGGAGTTTTGCTTTATAACAGATAATACCTACACAAAAGAAGAGGTACATCCTTGTCTATTTTGATAACCATTTTGTTTTATATCTGATTCCACTTACGTGGATTTTTCTCAATAAATTCATCATTGATTTTAAATTTAATACGCAATACTGACAGGTAGTGAAAATGGAAAGTTGTGTTCTGAACTTTTTGGGCTTTCAACTCTCTGTTCCCACCACAAAAAAGTTTCTTAGGTACCTATTGTATGCGTACTCTATGATCTTTAATTTTTCACTTAAATGCTGCATTCTAAGCTCTATATCTCCTAAATCTTCTTCTATTGCTGTTTATAGGAGGTTTCTTCAAGCAGCACAAGTTTCATACAAGGTAGACTAAATGGTGTCCGGGATTTTCTGCCAACTTTTTGATATTCAGTTTAATTACACAAAACTTCAAGCTATTTTCAAAATTATTACAAACCCGTCAGTTTCCTTTCTTTTTACTTCCTGTTTGTAAATTCGTATTAAAAAAAAAAACACACACACATATGAATAAGATATTAGTAATTGTGGAACCTTTTTCTTTGTACACCATCAGTTATCATTATCTTTATGTTTCATGTTTTCAAATGAAGAACCAAAAAAAAAAAAAAAAAGAATTAGACATGAATGATTTCTCCATTTTCCAGGTCCCGTCTGTTGAACTGGAATTTTTGGCAAACTATTTAGCAGAACTAACTCTAATGGACTACAGTTTCCTGAAATACCTACCATCCCTAATTGCTGCTTCTGCTGTGTTTTTAGCCAAATGGACTCTTGATCAGTCTGAGCATCCATGGGTTAGATTTCTTTTATGCCATTTGATGCTTTCTTTCTTCCCATTTATTTATATAGTATACTGATAAGTATTCCATGCACAGAATCGGACCCTGGAGTATTACACGAGGCACAAAGCATCAGAGCTAAAAACTGTAGTTTTAGAACTCCAAAACTTGCATGTTAATCCAAGCTGGAACATGCCTAGCGCCATACGCGGGAAGTACAAGCAATCCAGGGTAAGACACCAAAAAGCTTGTCACAAAAATAGAACTTTTATTTTATTTTATTTTATTTTTTTATTTATTTATTTTTTTAAGTCCAGATTTATTTGCAGGAATACCACCACTATTTGTCTTTGTGCTTGCAAAATGGCTGTGCAATAGAAACCACTTAGAAAAATTAGAACATCTGTTCTTTATATGTACATATTTACTGGTTCTTCTTCTTTTTTTTGTCCTTTTTTTTATTTTATATTTTTTTTAATGACAGTTCAAGAGCGTATCAACTTTGCTTCCACCAGAACCAGATGAATCGCTTTTCTGAGCATAACAAGTCTCTTGCAAATGATGGGATATTCACGAAAGCAACAACAAATGAAGTTATTTCATCATTTTGAAACTGTAAACAGGACAGCCTACCTCATTCTTTATTCAATATATATATATCTATCTCGCGACACCTAAACCATAATTTATTATATGGCTGTCTGTAAATCAGTTGTGGTGTTCCCAGGCTGCATTTTGTAACGGGAAAGTTGTAAAAAGAGCAGGAATGAAATAACTTAATATTCTACTAAAATCAGTCAATGCCTGTTCCTGGGCATCTTGTGAAGTCATTATTCTACTTGCTAGCTGGGTGGGTCTCTAGGACGTGTTTCGATATTTTGTTTTTGTGCAAGCTATGTTACTCCTGCTTTGGTATTTGACGTTGCGAAAGCATGAACATAAGAGAGATTTGAGAGAAAACCCCAAGGGCGCATTGGACAATTAGAAGATAGTGTATCTTTATACCTTGGTCTGCTTAGACAGAAACGCTAAGGGCTTTCCTTCTCGGCGATAGATGTGACGAAAGGTGCAGTAATGGCCTTATATGGAACACGGTTGTGTTGAAACCCGCACTAAATGCCCAGTTCTAAATATAAGAGAGTAAAGCCCACGATGGACGTTTTTCGTAGTAACTTCAATCTTATTGAAATTCGAACAAAGCAATTGAATGTTTAAAGACTGGAAATTCCAATCATAATAAGAATAAAATACTAGTCCTAAAGAAACTCAATATCTATCCTAGTTAACTAAATATCTAACATCATAAGATTTTCTCCAATCGAAAAATCAGTCTCAAACTGATTTTGCATTAACTGTCACATCAAACAGTAATTCGTACTAATCTCAAACTGATTTTGCAATAACCGTCACATCAAATAGTAATTTATCTCCAACCGAAAAACTCATTCTCAAACCAAAAGAGTATTCTTGGAATATTCTCTTTCACATCTCTATATATATATATATATATATATATA